CCCCAAAACCCCAAAACCCCAAAACCCCAAAACCCCTTGGGAATTTTATAATATTGATACTAAAAATGAGGTTAGTACAGTTCATTGGTGGTTTGAAGAGGTAAGAAAAGGGTGGAGGGGAGCTTGGAAGGGGGAGGTAGTAGTTTTTGGGAAATAGAAGATTTTTGATTTTGGAAGGAAGATATGAGATTTTGGAGGTGGTTTATGGTTGTAGTTTGAGATTTTAGCCTTGGAATATGTAACAGGATTTTGATAATTTTCAAAATTCTTGGCATTCAATCAAAAGTTTTTACCATCAATAAAAAAACGGATAAATTTATCACCCTCCTCACCTCCATTGCTCTTACCAATTAACCCTATTCTAAAACTTCTCCTATTTTTAACCTTTAAGCACCTACTCCTGATGGCTTAGACTCCCAGCCAAATCCCATAAATTTTACTCTTCAAGTAATCAGCCAATCCAAAGCCTTGTCTACAAAATCCCCTTTAAATCTGCGCTTGAAATAGCCCTAAGGCTAACCAAGACTGCAAAGTCATGGAGAATTTTAGGAGATTTATCCTATTTTTAGGGTCAAGGTTAAGAGTTTTGGGTGTCCACATGCTAGGTCACTGGGCGATGCTATATTAGTGAGGCAGAATGAAGATGAGAAGCTCTTGATAACTCTACTAATTTACTTACTTTCATCAACAATGGGGTGTAAGAATCATATAGTGTTAGCATATGCAAAAAACTGGAGTTTCTTATAAACTTATTAACAAAAATTTGTGCATTTTTCTTTGTATCCCATATTAAAAGTTACACAAAGTGCTTTCTTAAATTTTAATCAAAAATGCGAATGCTTTCTCATTTTCTCAATTAAGATCTTTACTATCAAAATAATTAAGTCATGATTCATTCGCTTTTTACATAGTCTCGTTGATCATCTTGATTATTTCCTCTAAAATAGTGGTATTCCTTCATGCATCTTTGGGTTAATTCTAACTATGAATAGGGCTATCCTTTCAGACCTGATTGGAAGTACAAAGAATAAGAGAGCCAATATTCTTAAGGTAAGCAAGAATAACAGTGTTTGAGCAATAGTACTAATAATAACAGATATAAAGAAACTACAATTAGAACAGAGTTTATTTAGTTTAGGTTTAAATTGTAAATACTAAAGAGTTACTATCCATTTTCCATTGCTTATCCTCTGCTTTTCCTTCAGTTATAACTAATAACTTCATTCTCTAATTTCTCAAAGCATCCTCCAGATCAACTCCATTCATCCTTAGCCAAACCAGCAAACTTAGAAACACAAAGAGTCATTCTTCCTTCCAACACATACAGTTTAAAGCAAATTCCTAACAAAATTCAAGATGCCAAATCTGAAAGAAAAGTTACTCAGAAGGCTCAAATCAGGAAATTTAGTTTATTTTAGAATTATCTTTATCTTATTATTCTGAATGACGTCATTGGCAAGAAAAGGTAAGTTATCTCCAGAGATAATGTAGATTCGGATTCATACAAGAGAACTCTTTCAGGAGCTACTTCTGGCCCCAATTGAGTTGTATCTGGTAATGGGACTGCAAACATCGAGCCGTTTAAGACTTACAGAATAGCTGTTGAAGCAAGAGATGCATCGAATGTACCCATCGGAACAGGTGGGGATGTCTTCGTAATCGAGATTTATAACCAATGCAATAAAGATGACCTCTCCAGATGAACAGAAACAGGGGCTTATTCTGTGTTGTCATCTCCAGTTGTAGCTCAAATGCAAGATAATGGAGATGGAACCTACCACTATGATTTTAGAATGGAAAATGTTGGCATCATCACATATTTCATTTCATTAACAAAAACTGGGATTAAAGCTACTTTTTACCCCAATATTGATCTGAATTCTCCTGCAGAGCTTACAGTTTATGATCCGAGACTTGACTATGATTGGGACAATGGAAGCCCAATCAGTGTTGTTGATATGTGGAGTGCAAGATTTGATTTTTATTTTGTTCCAACAACAAATGAAGATTACACTTTTTACACAGTTCATGATGACTGGATTTCTTATACAATTAACAATGTGTATCCAAGTCTTGACTTTTCAGTTTCTTTCAGATCTACTTCAACTGTAACTTATTGGTTCTAACTTTTAGGCTCTTCCTCTGATTTCTGGGAACTATTACAGATTCAAATTTGATTACAAAGAAGCTGTGTCTTCAGCCAACTGTACTCTCTACTTCTGGACTCCAACCATCTCTCAACAAGTTGTTCCAAACTCATATCTCAGATATCCAGCTGAGGACGTCGGATTGTCAAAGTATGACATCCAAGTGAGTTGCCCTGATGGATATGGACCAAATAGTAACACTCCTCCAGATGCCTGAGCTGAAGTCTGAGGAGACGGAAAAGAAATTGGAAACGAGAAATGAGATGACAACAACACAGTCGGAGGCGATGGATGTTCAGCCGACTGATCAACTGTTGAAACAGGTTGGGTCTGATCTGGAGGATCTTCTACGACCAAAGACACTTGAACTCAGTGAACTTCAGGGTTTTACCAAGATAACCCAACAAATCCAGAAAACTGAGTATCAATCTGAGGCGATGGCTTTGAAGTAGACGCTGAGAAATGAGACGATAACAACATTGTGAGTGGAGATGGATGAGCAGCCGACTGTTCAGGTGTTGAAGCAGGCTGGGTTTGCTCAGGAGGAAGTCCAACAGCAAAAGACACATGAACTCAGTGAACAGCTGGGTTTTATCAAAACGATGCTAGCAACCCTGAAACTTGAGTTGCTCAGTGAGGCGATGGACTTGAAGTTGGCACTGAGAAATGTGACGACAACAACACTATTGATGGAGATGGCTGTTCAGCTGACTGTTCAACAGTTGAAGCCGGATGGGTCTGATCAGGCGGGTCATCTACCACAAAAGATGTATGTACTCAATGAGCAGCAGGTTTTTACCAAGATAATCCAACAAACCCTGAAAATTGTGTTTCTAGATGAGGAGATGGCTTAGAAGTTGGAACAGAAAAATGAGATGATAACAACACTATCAGTGGAGATGGATGAGCTGCTGATTGTTCAGGTGTTGAGACCGGCTGGGTTTGATCAGGAGGATCGTCTGTTTCCAAAGATATATGAACTCAATGAGCAGCTGGATTTTACCAGGATGACCCAACGAATCCCGAAAACTGAATATCTCGATGAGGTGATGGCTTAGAAGTTGGTACTGAGAAATGAGATGACAACAATATTATGAGTGGAGATGGATGAGCACATGATTGATCAACAGTTGAAGCTGGCTGGGTATGATCTGGAGGCTCATCAACATCAAAGGATACATGAATCCAATGATCTCCTGGTTTTTATCAAGACAGCCAATTAAATCCTGAAAACTGAGTGTCGCAATGAGGAGATGGCCTTAGAGTTGGCACTGAACTATGAGATGACTTTAACACTGATAATGGAGATGGATGATCTAGCAATTGAGCCGCAATTGATTCTGGCTATGTTTGATCTGGAGGCTCATCAACTCAGTCAGACACATGAACAGAATGCACATCAGGGTTTTATCCTAATGATGCACTTGTTCCCCGAACATGCGTAACTCAGTGAGGAGATGGCTTCAGAGCTGGCTCTGAAATTTGAGATGACTCTAACACTGATGACTCTGACGGATGCTCATCTGACTGAGCTACTATTGAACCTCGATACATCTGAGCTGGAGGGACTGTTCTTACTCAGGATAACTGTAGCCAATGAGGAGAAGGAACAATTCCTAACACTGCACAAGACTCATGAATCAATGTTTGTGGAGATGGTATCGTCACCAATCCAGAACAGTGAGATGACGGTAACACTGAGGATGGAGATGGATGTTCTCAAGACTGTATCTCAGTTGAATCAGGATGGAAATGAGATGACTCAATGCCATCAAAGTGAGTAAAGGATTACATAAATATTCCGCTTTCAAGTTCTGAAAAAGCAATCCAAGGATCGACAATAGGAATAACTGTTGGAGCTGTATCTTTAAACATAATAGGTGCAATTTTAAGTAAATCATCACCAAATGGAGCTTTTGCGTCCATAAACCAGCTCCAGCTGCTAATAATGCTACTTTTCTTACAGACATATTTGCCTTCAAAGATAGTCAATTACTTGAGGTCGCTGACAATGTCTCTAATATAAACATCGATTGGCCATCCTTCATTTCATTCAGATATTTGATTGGCCTGTTCAGCCATCCTCAGTCAAGAGATGATCTTTATATTGGCAGTTATGAGTCTGGAAGCACATTGCTCAATAACAGTACATTAATAGCTATTATCCTTCTGTATATTCCTCTTCATTTGTTGACTCTTGTGATCACAAAATGTATCCAGAAGTCTTCTAAACGAACATTGAAGATGATCTTCAATTACACGTGGAGAGCTTTTACTTTTGAGATATATGTTCGAACAATATTTGAGTCATTTCTTAATCTTTGAATACCTACATTCCATGAGCTAAGTCAATTTAAGGTTACCAAATCTGGAGCTCAGCGACGGTCATTCTTTGCAGCCTTAGGTTTCCTAGCTCTGATTCTTATCATTGTTGCATTGACTACTTGAATTTGGTATTTTATTAGTAAAGAAAAGAGCCAAAATACCAACACCTCAAATAAATCTCCGAAATTCCTTGAAAATGAGCTATTCTCAGGACTAAAGCCCAACTGGACCTCCAGATTCTACCCAGTGTTGTTCTTTATCAGAAGAATCCTCTTCTCTCTTCTTGTGACTTGTAAGTTGTTTGTCATACTCTAGGTTTTACATTTGCCAGCAGAGGTATAGTCTGAGGATGCTACCTCGGAGTCACAACAGTGTACACAGTATTGATCATTATCTTCAGACCTTACTCTTCAATTTAAAAATAAAGATAACATCCAAGAACTCGTAAATGAATTCTTCTACATTGCATTCTGAGGAGTAATTTATATGCATCGCAAACAAGCAGACTGGGGAAGTGCTTTGACGAATACGTTCTACTGGTCTCTTATATCTAATAATCTCATTAATGTGCTGTTCTCAATGAGTATAGAAATTTTTGATAACCTATAGTCTGATTTATACATACCTTGTGTAGGAAGAGGTCTAAAACTAGTTCCAAGGTCAGAAAAAATGTGAAGAAATCAAAATATAAAATGGACTCAAAGCTACCTATTCAGAAAAAGCAAAAAGGTAAAAATTACATAAAATTTTACTTAGATTTGACAATACACTAATTTTGTATGAGATATTTAATTTGAACCAAATTTTTAATATGTTTAGATGAAGAAATTAGAATGAGTAATCGAAGGGAGAGACCTCTAAGTCTTCATCCTCTCTCCTCGGTAGGAAATTCACGAATCACGACACTTACTAAGAAGACAAGAATGGTGGTACTTCGTAAACCGTCACACATTGGACTCAGAGATGACTTATTCTATCATGATAACTCATTCTAGCCCAATAATAAATAATTTAGTTGTTAAATTTTGATTGGTCAATAGGCCATCCAAATCTCGGGGTTTTGGGGTTTTGGGGTTTTGGGG